TGAAAGCTTTCAAGCAAAGGTTTGCCTCTTATGTTATCAGTCTAACGTTGTTAGGGAAGATCTGTCCTATTTTCCAGGCAACAGCCGAATACAGATTACAAATCTTACTGAGGCTTCACATCCCAAACATATCACCTCCAAAAGATCTTCAAGGCTGACAGATATATGTTCAGAATTCCTTCACATCCTTGGAAGAGAGACCTTTGTAAAGTCTACAGGAAAGGGAGCAGGTTTCAGGGACAATGCTTGCACCAGCTTCAGGAAGAGAGACACCCGAGGAATACTGGCTTGCAGCTTTTTCAAAATGAACAAGGAACAAAATCAGGCAGATAGAGGCAATTCTTAACCAGAAATGTTATTAAATAGAAAATATTGGGGCCTATGCCTTGTTTTTTCTAAGGTTATTTTGTGGCTTATTATTTTTTTCTATATGTGGGATTAGTTCTCTCCCTTCATAAAGTACTTAATGCATTAAAATAAGACGGGAACATCTCTTCTCTTGGCAAAGCAGGCAGAGTAAGCAATGCTCTCCACATTAATGGCTGAAGCCCACAGAAGTGCTTGTGCAGCAGCAGATTTGCTGCTGACAAGCCTTGATGACCCCACACTTGCGCTGCTGCAAAGCACACCAGCACACTACCATGGGACCCTGCCGTGAACAAGCTGTCCTAAAACAAAATTACCTTCAAGTGAGCTCTCAGGCTCACGCATCAGCACACACACCCCCTTTTAACCAGAAGCAGCAGAGTTGCTGTGCCACTATCCCAGACTCCAAGGGACTGAAACAGTGAAATATGCACATGGGAAACAGGGCAGGTCAGGTATAACCAATTCTCCTCCTGAGCTGTATTCAGGCCCATGACTCCATCAAAGCAGGAACTGTGCAAATGTGCTGCTGTGCAGAGCTTGAGCTTTTGTGACCTACGGCAAAACACAGACAGAAAACCCTAGTGGTCCAGATGACAAACAGGTGGTACTACAAGAAAATGAGCTTAACTGGTTTCAAGACTTTTATTATCATAAAGGATGTTCTCAAATGCTCTCTGGGAGTCTGTTCTTGACACCTTCACAAATTACTTACCAGAATTTCTTGAAAGGACTTCAATTAGCTTTCTACTTCATGGTGAAACATTTTTAGGCTTGTAAACACCTACCCTTTCACACAAAACCACCGAAGCCCACTGTTTCAGTTCAGAAAACAAAAAATTCTGACGCTTTTGCCAACTAAAAGCCACAAAACATACATCATTGAGCAAACCATTTTGTTATTCCAGCTTCAAAAAGAAACCATGAAAGTGACAATATGATGAACAGAGGAAAAGTCAGGGTCAGTCCTGGAACTCAACTCTGAAGTTGTTAATTTCCATTCCCATGTTTAGTGCTGTCTAACCACATCCATTCTGGAGACCAGTAATGCACCCCTTTGGGTAGGGGGGCTGCAACCTCTAGTAGAATGCCAAAGCCTACTCCTCCAAAATCCTATCTGAAATCCTGCAGGACATATCAAAATCAATGCATCTTATACAGTTAAACAAAAAAAAAATACTCTCTATCAAGAAAGCATCAAGATATTGCCTCTCTTTACTCTACAAAGCAGAGGCCTCAGAGAAGCATTTACTAAGTGTTGCAGTATGAAGGACTAGTAAGCACTTCTTCGCCTCAGCCACTTTAGAAAAATAAAATCTTTACTAAATATCAAGGTCTATCAAAAGCCTTGCTTAGAATTTGGATCTCGGGAAATTTTTGAAAATAAACTAAACCCTAGGCATAATTTTAAGTAAAAAGCATTAGGCAAACAATCAGTTCTCCAATGCTTACTCTGCATTAAGCTCCAAGGTCACTTCTTGTAATGTTTCATTTCCTAGAAAAGCCCTAATTTGAAACCTAAGGATTTGGATAAGGAAATTTAGATTTTAACCTAAATTCTTCTTTCAAAAACACTCAGGAAATGTTGATTCCATTCCAATTAAAAAAAAAAAACAACTTGGCATGGAAAGATGTCATCCCCTAGTATTAATATTGTTATGTAAAATGGTATTGTGACACTAAAAAAATTAAGACGCATTCCTGAATGTTTACTGTGTCATTCCTCTGCAGCTAAAGAAACACTGCCTAACAAACTTGCTGTAAACTACAGCCTCCTCTTACCTGAATCCCTTCACAGCAATTAAGAGGAAATGTAATCCAGCTACTGCTAATGTTGCCATTCTACTGGTATAAATCAAGCACAACAAACATTTTGATGTTATTTTTCTCACACCAAGTTAAAACATGTATTTTGTAAACCTTAATAGCTTGTGTGAGCTGGACTCTTAACATATATGAATTAAATAATCAAGCACAACAAACATTTTGAAGTTATTTTTCTCACACCAAGTTAAAACATGTTAAATGAGTATTTTGTAAACCTTAATAGCTTGTGAGAGCTGGACTCTTAACACATATGAATTAAATCATGGAATATATTAGGTTGGAAAAGATGGGAGTCCAACTGCAAACCAAACACTGCCAAGCCCACCACTAAACCACGTTCTTAAGTGTCACACCTACAGGTCTTTTAACTGCCTCCAGGACTGCTGATTCCACCATTTCCCTGGGCAGCCTGATCCAATGCCTGAGCATATTTCCTAACACCCAGTCTCAACCTCACCAGGCCATATTCTCTTAACCTGCAACTTGCTACTTCAAAGAGACCCTCACCTCATTACAACCTTCCTTCCAGGTGGCTGTAGAGCAGCATGGTCTACCCCAAACCTCCTCCAGGCTAAATAACCTGCTTCCTAACTGGCTCCAGACCCTTCACAAGATTTGCCAACCTCCTTCAGACAAACCTTAAGGTCTGTTTTCTGAGATAAGCATTAGTTTAGCAAAAGGATACAGACCTCACACACTTGAGCAGGTGACTTTACTGAGTACACCTGAAAATGTTAGTATAGAAACATTTCCAAGAACCAAAGTTCCCCAGATCCAGCTACTACAAATTAGTAGACAGGGACAAAACTAAGAAACCCTTCAAGAGCCTGAAGAGCTGTAAGAAAAGTCCATCTGAACCCAGCTGGAGAAGATGCCTGCCTTCACTCTCACACTTATGACTAGAGATATCAAGAAGGGGTTACACACCACAATGAAAACTTAAGTTGAAGAGCCTGAAAACAGATAAAACATTCCCATCTCAACCACAGGTGCCCAGCCCCACATATTCACATTCATGTCTTACACATCAGCATAATCAACAATTCCTTATGACTCACTCCACTTAAGAGCTACTCTGCAGAAAATTTAAGACAGTCTGAATCCCTCGCTTCCAAAAGACAGACAAAAACACAAGTTCTGAACATCAATTAACTACTACAAAATCCAAAACACTGGGCAAGTCAGGAGCTTAACACTGCCTAATCCGAGCAATGGTAATTCAACCACTTGGCTATCCTACCTACTGAGAACTACAGAATCGTATCTACAAGATTACAATACTAGTCAGAAGATGCTATCACCCACAATTCAAGGCAGAGAAACAAGTAAAACATATATTGTGTCCATTAACTTCCCTGGATAAATTAAGAAAACATTTCTAGAAATCCTGCAATATCTCAGAACTGGGAAACAGTTAAGGCTGTTCTTCCCATTTGTCTTGACAAAAGGACCCAAATTTTCATCACAGAGGCAGCAATACTTTAAGTAGGCAAGTTACTAAGAATCTTAAAAATAGACCAAAGCACTATCGAGCAAGGACAGTATTTAACTGTCTGCATTATTGCAACTTTAATCTGTGCCATGTTCTAGCTGGTAACTTTTGGGGTAGGAACAGAAAACAACTACCCTAAAACAGGAATGGTGGCAAGGATCCCCATCATCTTTTCAGCAAACTGACACAGTTAAAATACTAATAAACTACACCAACATTTGCAAAGTTTTTTGCATCTTCTGATGCTATCCTTTGTAACGAAAAGGAACTGTTCCACGGACACCAAATCATCACACATACACTAGACTGGTTCAAAATTTATTCATCATTCATTTCTTGCACTTGAAGTACTCTTCGATGACATCCTTGGCCTGAGATTCCTTGCCATAGTCCTGTAACACAAATTATTAACCCATTATTAACATAAAAACAGACCCATCCTAACTTTTACAAACTGTTTTTCACAAAGACAAATGGGATTCTGATACTTGCTCACAAAAAATTCCCAAAATTCTATACATGTAAGCTCAAGCAATTTGCCAGTTCTCTCCCTGTTCTTTAGCAAGACTATTCTAATAAAGCACTGTTTTACTTAATTCAAAGGAATGCAAACAAAATCTTTTTTGCTTAAAGAAACTCAAGTAAAGCATGTGCATACTCAATTAAAGCAGCATAACTATGAAAATGCATGCAGAAGACACTAGTCTTCATTGTGAAGATGTAGCCATCTCTTGGGACCTCAGAGAACACAGAGTCTTCCAGGCTCGTACTGTGGCTTTACTTTGCCAGTGTTATAGTGAAATGAGCTCCGCTAAACACTTTCCAGTTGAGCGGAACACTGAACTGGCTTTTCTGTCTTAAGCAAAGCATCCTATCTTCCAGGCAGGCCTTTCCTTTTGATGATTACTGGCAGGTAGGCATAGATACTTTGAGGACACAACTATTAACTCATAAAATGCACATGAATAAATAAACATGACAGGGATGATGATATAGGAGAGAAGCTCAGGTTTACTATCAACAATATACAACTGTTAAAAAAATAAAATTTAGGAGCTGTATTTAATAGTTCCTTATCTAAAGCAACCTTTGGTTTACTACTTATTTTCAGAAGTCAAGAATTAAGACATAACTAGCAATCTTACTTTGACAACCACACAACTGCAGCCCACCACTTTGCGAGGTTTTCCTTCTCTGTCGATCTTGCAGAGACCCACCCATTCGCCCAGCTTCTTGTTGTCATCAACCTGTGCAGAGCACCACATCACGTTAGCACTTCCCATCTCTGGCACACGTGGCTCAGCCCAGAAGCTGCTGTACCATCAGAAGCTTTGGGTAACGGATGGCTGCTTTCCTCACAGGCATCAGCAGAGGGAGCCAAAGTATCATCATCAGTACAGCCTGAGCCACCCTGGAGTCACAGCAATGTTCCTCCCACCCTCCACTCCCAGCAAGAATTTTGCCTCTTACTATTATACAGGACACAAGAATCCACTTCAACTGTGCAAAATAACCAATCCACATCCCTTGCCATTTACATCCACAAGTTTTGTACTGTGGAAAAACGGCAATCACATAGAACCAGAAGAATCTGCTGCTAAAGGAAGTTCTGCCTAGGGAAGCCATACACAAATTACACTAGTCTTCTAAAGGTTCAGCTCTCTACATGCTGAAACAAGCAGCGTAACTGTTCCAAACTTTTGTCTCAAGTTGACACTCACCTTTATTAAGTTGATCTGATGTTCTGCACAGAGTGCTTCAACTAATTTTACATATGTGGGTTCATCACAATTTGAAGCCAGAACACAGAGATGGGCTTGGCGTCTAAAAAAAATGAGAACTGACAGACATTACTTTAGGCACTAATTAAAATTTCTTGATAATCAAAACCAAAAATAATTGCATTCAGCACATGCATTTCTAGAGAACCACTTCCTAAGTTTTAGCTTTTGGTTATGAGACACCACAAGCTTTTGAAATACTACATATACTTTTGATGTGATTTGCCACTTTTAGTGTTATTTATATATACATTACAGGCTACTCATACATTGTTAGCTTTATCCTCAGATTCTATTCCTGTTTTGAAAGCTTCTAAAAATATAACTAAATAAATTCTCAGCCACTGGAAAAAGGTCCAATGACTGGATAAATACCAGGTTCCCCATAGAACTGTCCTTGTCACAAAGCAACAAAGTTACAAGTCACTTTTTCTAATTTACCACAGATTACAGTAATTTAACATTAGAATTTTAATTACTAAAAGCTTGAATTTCCACATCAAGGTGGAAATCTTTTCTACTTACGTTCAGAGAAGCTGTAATGACAGGGCCCCAATTCTAATTAGGATCTTTGTATACTGTGGTACAATGTTAAGATACCAAAGGGATACCTGACAACAGAGAGAGCTGAGTAGGTCTTCTATGCTTAACCTAATGAAATGTGACCTCTGCAAACAAAGCCAGTTTTCCCTAAAAAGACTGTCTTTATCAGGAGTGTCAAGAATGCCAGGAACATTTCCAAACAAGAACCATCACACACAAATGTGTAAAAGCCTCATACAAACACAACCCCCATCTGAACACACAAACTTATAAAGCAGGGGCTGAACTCAGAAGAGCTCACACAAACTGGCTGCCAGTCACCCAAGCTGCATTTCTGTGCCCTTGTTTAGTGCCTTGTCCCAGAGGATTCTGCATACAGGTTTGTCAGACAGCAGTTATCACTCACAGGACGAGTGAAGGGGTATCCGACTAACTGAGATGTCATCACCCAAACACTGCAGCTTTACATTTAAGCAGATTTCCCTTGCAAGGCAAGTACGGACTTGCATATAAACACACAAATGTCTATGTACATCTATATATACAGATACACTTTGCTCTATAAAAGACCATAACTGATTACCCCATGACTGGCAGGTAAGTTCAATGTTGTTTCGATACTGCAACTTCAATTTACTTACTGTTGCAATACACAAAAAGACAGCAAAAAAATTATAAGAAAGCTATGAATTTAAGGCTTTTTCATAAAAATGAAATTAACTTTCAGGAAAAGTCTGAAATACATATTAACCCGATTAAAAGTTTTGAGAATACTTTATTACTTTTAAAATGTAAGGTTCTTGAAATGTAGATTTTCATAGCCACACACAGCAAGCACCATTCCATTTTCTTCACAAAACCAATACACCCACATGGACACTCAGTGGCACAGGGGCCACAAAATGACAGAACCTAATACACCAGATGCTGCTGTTCTTCAATAATTTAGTTTCTGTATTTTAAGATTCCACTTTAAGGCCCCAAACCACAAGCTACAAAGGACAAAAATTACTGGCAGAAAGCTATAATCTTGTGTAACTTTTGAACTGAACACCTGAACAAAATGGCCACTGCAGGTGTTCAACACACCTCATCACAAGGTCTCACCCAGTTTTACTACTCACAGCAGAGAAACTGGTGACACCACACTTACTTGTCCAAGGCTTTGGCTGCTTCACGGATACCGCGAGCAAGGCCATCGTGGATAAGTGCGGTCTTCAGCACTTCTTGCAGAGCGGTGTTAACATCCATTACACCTCCAGCAGTAATGCTAAAGAGAAGACACACAATGTTCTGACCGTGCCAACAATTTTCAACTAAAAGCAAAAGCTTCCCGATCACCTGCAAGCATCCGGCCATTAAAAAAGTACAGAAAAAAAGCAAGTTAAAGCACCATGCCAAAGGAAAAACAGACGAAGGGCGAACTTGAAGAAAGCCAAGGCACTGAATCCTCCTGGCGAGCCACCGCGCCACGCTGCCTCCGCGCTCCTTTAGGGAGCGGAGCACGCCATGCGCACAGCGGCCCTGCCGGGCGGACCCGCGCCCATGCCGGCCCGCAGGAAGCACGCAGCAGCACCGCGCCGGGGCCTGCACACGCGGCGCAGCCAGAGCTCCCGAGCGTGACCCGGAGCGCCCCGGCCCCTCCGCCCGCCGCCCCCGACGGCCCCGGCCCTGCTCACCCTTCCTCGGCCATGGCGCTCTCGGTGGGTGCGGTCCCCGCCTGGGTTCCTACTGCAAATACAGACACAGGCCGCCCCGGTGAGCGGCGCCGGCAGCCCCGGGGCCCCCGCCCGGCCCGCTCCCGCCGCGATGCCGCGCCATCGCGGACACTCACCCGGCCCCGCCGCGCGCCGCTGCACAGAGAGGGGGCGCGCCCGCCGCCGCGCGCTCTTATAGCGCGACAGGACCCCGGCCTCTGCGCGTGCGCGCGCGCCGGGGCTGCCCGCCGCGGTGCCTGATATTCGGCTTGCCCGCCGCGTGTCCGGATTTGTGCACGTTTGAAACCAAGAGGTGGGAAGTGGTTTGAGACAGAAATTAAAGGATGAAACTGAGTAACTGCAAGCAATAACTGCAAATTTGATTTGTCAAACTTTATGGGAGATACCCCTGTTGTTAGCAATGGCTGACAGCAGTCACAGCAGAGGATTAAAGGAGGATTCCTCCATGAGGAACGAGTTTAAATAAAGCCTCACAAGAAACTCGGTTTGCTATTTTCCCGGGAAAGAATGGCGCACATTAAGTCTCCGAAGGAAAACTATCACCCAAGAGGTTCCATAAAAGGAACGTTGTTCTTTTAATGGAAAAACAACTTCTAAGTTGTTAACTTAAAGTATCCATTTGGTTTGGAGCAGCAGCTTCTGAGGGGAACACCATCTGTGACGGCTGGGCAGGAGTCACCCGGGCTGGATCCCCAGCCAGGGCTCACCGGGGCTGCTTCCCTCGGGCAGGATGTTCACCCTGTTCCTGTCAGACACACACAGGTCATCCAGCTGTGATTCCTGTCACACACACACGGCACACCCAGCTGCGATCCCTGCCACACACACACAGGTGACACAGCTGTGAACCCTCACACACACACATGTCATCCAGCTGAGGTTCCTGTCACACACACACGGCACACCCAGCTGCGATCCCTGCCACACACACACAGGTGACACAGCTGTGAACCCTCACACACACACATGTCATCCAGCTGAGGTTCCTGTCACACACACAGGTCCCTCAGCTGTGATTCCTGTCAGACATACACAGATCCCTCAGCTGTGATTCCTGTCACACACACCAGTCCCTCAGCTGTGATTCCTGTCACACACACCAGTCATCCAGCTGTGATTCCTCACACACACACAGGTCCCTCAGCTGTGATTCCTGTCACACACACACAGGTGATTCAGATGGCGAGTGCAACACAGCCACAGCACTGCCACGTGTTCTTTGCTTGGGTGCTCAGTCTGACACGGGGCTTTGTCCATCCCAGCTGCTTCAGGTGGGTGACTTGACTGTTGGGTACTCTGCATGTCACCATCTTTGCAAAAAGCACATAGTGACAAAATATTAGAGAAATAGGTAACAGATATTGATGGCCATGGTTTGTGGCTAGTGCAATCAAACACATTTGTCACCAGTGTTGTCAGCCACCTTTTCCACAATATGTTTTTCCTTGGTCTTCCTGGTGTTGCCAAGCAGCAGGATGAAGGCTAAATACAGCTAGGGAAGAGGCACTGTGCACAAAGTGACTCACTGGAGGTGATCAGGGCAGAGGAGGACAGAGAGGAAAAGTGGAACCTGCTCAGCTGTCTCGGAGCCACCCCACATGCCCCCAGCCAGGCTGCACAGCCTTTCAGAGCCTGCCCGGGGGCTGCAGCACTTCCACGCTCCAGCTGTGAGACACAGCTCGTGTCAGCTCTGAGGCAGTCACCTACATTTACACTACAGAGATCTAGAAAGGGCACAAGCCAACCTCTGAGCAAGTCATGGAGAGAGAAGCACAGTATGGGGGCTGTCCTCTCCCTGCAAGCTGAGCTACCAAGGACAAAGTGGGTAGGAATGACACTGCCCACTGCTACCACGGGCAGCCTCTGAGATGCATTTGGCACCTCCAGTGCTGCCATATATTGCTTAAAACTCTGAACTGAAACTCCTGTTGCATTACCCCAGTGTGTTGCAACCAGTGCAGTCCCAGCATAGATCTTCTAATTTAGCAGCTCCTGTGAGACATGGTCCTGACTTCTTCCCTCCTTCCTCCACAAGAAGTGGGAACATGTAATTTCCTTTGCACTGCTCAGAAAGCATACAAGCACACACAAATAATACTGCCTGCTTTTTTCCCATCTCTTCAGGGAAGAATATGTTTCCCTATATCCACCCCTCACTTAATCTTCTTGTGCCCTTGAAAAGCCTCAAAAGCACCTAATCTAGAGAGTAGTTTTTGTACTGATTGGAACAATACACCATTATCTCCCCTAGAGGTCTTGAAAGGATAAGAAGTCTGTATGCAGCCTATGACACATCAGTTATCTCCAGGAAGTGCTATATATATTCAGGCCAGGAGATGGAAGTATGCACATCTGAA